CAGCACACCTTCCTCGGAGATGGCCTAGCAAGACTGTGGGAGTCCTCAGGAAGCTAACAAGTAATATTCACCTCCTCAGAGTTCAAAAAAGCTTCCTGTGACAGAATAAAAATAAATTGCATTGATTTCTCACAAGGACGGCTTTGCAGCACCAGGAAGACCATGCCCCACAGCAAGATTAAGAGAATTTAGGCAAACAAAACTTTGCAATTTGCAAAGAACTACATGAATAGGTTATGTCGAACATGTCTTCCGGTGTAGTTTTACTTTTGTTTGCAAAATGTGTTGAATCTTAGCTTATAAGAGGCTTATGAAATGCTCTGAAAACAATAGGGAAGCACTGTGCAAGGCACAAGGAGCTTGTGTTTGCTATTGCAAGCAGCAAGTTAACTTCCCTTTCCTTCTGACTTTCCTTCTTTTCTTAAGGGACTTACAGGTCTTCCAACTCCAAAAGGGCTAGAAGAACAGGCAGGAACTTCTCCTTCATTGCATAGCAAGGCTCAGACAGTGACACAAGCACACACAGAGCCAGCTCCCACCTTTTTCTTCTCTCTGGGCTCGACAGTACCTGAAAGATGCTGAATGGAGAAAAGTTTTCTGGAGCAGCTGTGGTTTCCAAATTAGCTTTACAGAGGCACTGAAACTATCCCCTGAAACATAGTTGAAATAGGTCAACTGGGGCACTTTGCTTCTGAGTAAGCTTGCAAAGGTTAAAATCAGAAGCGAATTATTTCTTGAAAAACAGAAGAGACACTTCTCATGTGAGAGTTTAAACCACTGATTCTCTTCTTGAAGCAGTTACATTTTGCATAAATGACTGGTAGATATTTCATAGATTAAGAGCTGAAAAAGAGCTTGCCACCTCTAAAAGCAACTCTTCTTGAGCAGCTCTGCCTCCCATGCCTCCCCTGTTCATACCTGCAGGTCTTGCTGCTTACCTGGCTCTGACCATGGTCAGACCTCTGCACCCACCAGTTCAACTCACTGAGTTTGCAAGGGGGAAAGAAAAGGAGAGGAAAAAAAAGTTTGTCCCAAATTGTCTTCATCGAGGACTCCTACAAGTGCCACTGTCACAGGGGCAGGACCAGTGCTGGGGGCTGGACAAATGGGCCAAGGCAGTGCTGAGAAGGAGGAGGAGCAAAACTTTCACTTTGCAGTCTTACGTTTTTTAAAAAATAATTACCATCAATTTTTAAATAGTTTCTTTCCCATTTACTTCTCTGATCCTCCCAGACAAAAACTATTCCTCATGAAAACTTGTTAAAGCATATCCCAACTGCCATCATCCCCCACTTTGCCCACTTTGTATTTCTTCTTTAGTTTTTATAAAATCAAAACTATTTACAAATTAGAAGTGATTTCAACAGTGTCAGCTACCCAGAAATGACAGCTTTTTTGGCAAAAGCCCACTTGCTGGAAAAATAAAATAAAGTTGCCCAGCTCTGACAGCAACTCACACACTTCGATGGGTTTTCACACCTACTAACGCTTCTGCCTCCTGCTTCAGCACTCTGTAGATGTACTGTGAACACACATGGGACCATCTTGGAAAATACAGTTTTCCATTCTTGCTCCTTCTCTGCTGTTTATTCCTTAAATTTCTATGCCATCTTAAAAAAAGAGTTAATTTTTTCTCTACAGTCATAAGAATTCTACACCAATTCTCTTTTTTTTTCTTACTATACAAACATTTGTTTAATTTCCTTAGCATGAGCTTGAAGCAAGTTTAGCTGCTCTGCTGTTTGTTTTTCCACAGTTATACTGTATTTTTAAAAAATATTTCAGCTCATTGCTTTTCCAGAACGAGTTTATTGCCAGTCGAGTGGCTAAGCAGCAGCAACACAGTGTTGCCATGTGGAAGGTCAAATGACATGACCACAGGCAGCTCCAAAATACTGCCACAAGGCTTTGGCACCCTCTTGGAGGGAATGAATCACTCCCACAGTAAAATTCCCTGGGAATGATTTTTAGGAGTGGAACAGTCAGTGACTGGAGAAAGTCAATCACTTCTGTACAGTAAAATCTGCCAAAGTTTGGCACGAGGTATGGTTGAATAACCTCTGTGCAGCAGGGTATGTATGAAAAGGCATTGATCAGGGTTATGCTGAGCAGTTACACAACTGTAAATAAATGTGGACAAACTATTTCCACCTAAGTTACATGAAGGCAGAGATTTAAAGCAAAATCTCTTTTGCTTTTGCTTGGTTGTTGACATCTAGCAGCTGGCAGGGTATTATTGCGTGACTCTCAGAGCGTTGAAAATTTTCATTTTTCAAGCGCTTTGTTAATTTTAGCTTATTAATCCTCACAATATTCTAAGAAAATAAATAGAAATAGTTGATATTTAAAAGCAGGAAGGTGACAGTCCAGAAACATTAAGGCTTTTACTTCTAGGTATGTACCCTGGGAGAACATGTGCTTGATTTTTGAAAAAGGAGCCCTACCACTTATACTGATGGACTTTCAAAGGCACTGTCTTAGATAGCAGGCTCAAAATGAACTAACAAATATCAGAAATTATTTCCAAAGCTGTGTTCTTAAGAGTGACTAACTCAATGCTATCAAAGGAAATAGAACAATATTAAATTAAAATAAAAATAAAAAAATGAGAACTTGGCCTCCAAATTCCTGCTCAGATTACTAAGAACCCATCTTCTTATCTAAAATCTTACTCAATTCCCGAATAAGGAAAAGGAACATAGAACAGTTAAACCCTTTAAGAGTATCTTAATTCAAAGCAATGCCATTTTCTTCTGTTTTCATTTGAACTTCATCAGATGATCAGACACTAAGCTCTGATACTTGGTAATTCAATAAACATAAAAGTCCTTCTCAAAAAGCTTAAGTCTGAACTATTTGTTCACTTTCAGAATAAAATAAACCTCCCTTTGCTGCTTTTAAACAGAAAAGCAAGTATACTGTGTCGTTTTATACACTGGTGCTTAGTGTATAATATATACTCCAGTAATTTCCTATTATAATGGGCTATTTGCACAGGTTGCAAATTTATCCCTGAGGAATGATGAATCTAGTAGATGGACACATACATTTAGTATACCAAATACTCCAGGTAATGCTGGCTTATGATATCAAGCCAACAAAGTGAATGATAGCCATGGTGTAATTATGTAATTAATTAGCTCTATCATAATTTTTGTTTTATTACACTAACTTTTATGCCACCAGTCAATTTAATGGCATTTTAAATTGAACTAAGGCCCCTGAGAGAGATGCTACTTGCAAATCTTGTATTCAGATTACTTTTAATTTCAAAAGATGACCTAATAAAATTGCTTTATAATTAAAATCATTCTGACAACTTCTCCTATGTGATTCTTTTTCTCCTCTTCCATTTTTAATTATGAAAAAAAAATCCAATCACAAAACACTTGCCATCATAATTATATACAAAAAGCAGAGATCCCTTTTTGTACCTCTCCTTTCTATCCCTTACACAACAGTGCACTCTGGCTAACTTTCCTGTAGAATTTTACTAGCATCCCCCAGAGGCACAGTGAGAAAACTGCACCTTTTTCATTCAAGAAACTGTAGTTGAATTTGCTTGTAGAAATTTGTTTGAAAACTAGTCAAGACATAAAAAAGATGGAGAGCAAATCCCTGAATACTTTCTGTTTCAGACAGACATTTTATATATATTTTAACAGCACAAGAAGCATGTCCCACCAGAAACATGGAAAACCCCCCAGAAGGGTTTCCCAAACAGCATGCTCCCTGTGCACATCTGTCTGCCCCAGCCTGGTGACACAGAGGACTGCAATCTGCAACGGTGAGTATTAATAGAAAGGATGCAAAGGTTTCTCTCCAGTTAACTGCTTACAGCAATCCCAAGGCTGTGGGTCTTTGTCTGTTTGTTGTTGAGGCTTGCTTAATCAGTTGGAAACTGATGGAGTTTTGAGTGTTGTCAATCCCCAGGGCCATTCTGGCTCAGAGACGTAGCTATGAAGGCCCCTGGAGGTGATCAGTTTTACCTACAGCCTGTCACACAACTCGTCAGAGTACTTCTGGGTGCTCTCCCCTGCAGACACCCTATGCCAGAGACAACCAAATGTCTGTGCACAAATCCAGGAATGTGTTTACAACAACAACAACAACAACAACAACAACAAATCAGATGTGAGCCAGTTCTCTAGCAGACGGCTCCTGTGCAGGACCCTCTGTCCCAGGAAGGGGAAGGGTAACCATGCCCCTCCATGTAGCACCTATTTCCATCTGGAAAGACAATGCAGCATTGTGCACTAGCACCTTTCTTGGGGTTGGCAAGGTCATAGAATCATCAAGGGGCTGAGTCTTTTGGCATCTTTTTATCACAGACTCTTCTGGCACCTTCACTGTCTAGTATTCCTCATATGTAAACCCATTATGTTCTGCCCCTGACACAGCACCATTAGGATACAACTGAACTTCATTCAATGTTTAGTACAGCACTATCGTATTAAATAAGAAATACACCCAGGTATGGTAGCAAAACAGACTCTGTGAAAACTGTTTTCAAAGGCTCTACTCTACACAGCAGTTGGCTATAATCAACTGGAACACTCTAGGGATAGTATGTTAGGGTGGGAGCAGAGCTGAACAACTAATTTCTGAGGTGTTAATGATTATGGCATTCAGGGTACCCTTAATTTATACAATATTTCAGAATTTGTAAAGCATGTTAAACACAGCAATACATCTGCCTCTGAAAATCATCACATCACTTCAACCACTCATGCCTGGGAAATGGATGTACTGGAGATACCCAACATTACAGCAACTTGTGCCCAGTAATGCTGGATGGTATGGCCAAACAAATTAAAACAATGTAGCTTTCCAGAAGACACGATCATATCTCATTCTATTTCTACTTTATAGAAAATAATGAAATAACAGACACTATATGGAGCATAAATGGAACTTCAGTTGTTTGCATTTGGGTTTCTTACTGAGGCACAAGCAGAAACATGACATGAGGTTTTAAAACATTGCTGTCAACTTCTTACCATTTGCTGTATTCTTTCTGAAGTTATCTAGAAACTCTTCCAGAAGCTGTGACTGGTTTGGAGGTGGCAACAAACTTTTTGGATCCCTGGAAATGTCACCATCTGATGACCAGGATGCACACAAGGGTTGCTGACTCCCACAGTGATTCATTCTCAAAGTGAGCATTACGCTTCTTTCTGAAAACAACAGCTCCATCTGCCTAAGGTCAAGATCAGACACAGGCTCTCCGTTTATGCTCAGGATTTCATTGCCTACTCGTAGACCTGGGAGCATGTGAAAGGAGAGGAAAAGGAGAAAAAAGAAGGATGGAATACAAAACAGAAAAGTCACAAACCAAACCTTACAATGTTTCACCTTTTATTTTTATTTTCCATAAGTCTGTTAGAACTGATGGAAGTTTTATGTGTGTCATAAAAATACAACTTAATCTCATGCCTACTTTGATACAAGTTGCTTATTCCTAGAGATGCTAGAGGATTTAGAATGGAAGATGAGTGCAACTTTTGAAAAGATCAGAACAGAGGCACCTCTCATGACTCACATATCCTGAATTCATTACAAAAGATGGCATCAGCATACAGCACAATAATACGTATAACATTATTCCAGTCTGGAAGAACAAGAAACTAGTCACATAGATCAAATCATTCATGCAAAATAACAGTAGATGAAGTTTTATAAGCTTTTGTATAAATTTAAACAGTAGCAACTGCTGTCTTTCAAGACTTGCAGCAACTAAGTGGTCATTATTCTCAGGTAGCTATTAAAACTTTCTATGTTTTCTGTTTTCTCCTTTCTGTTTTTCAGAGAACCAGAACTAACATGATCCTGCCAAAGAGAAATGCAGTTTCTGAGCACCACAGTAGAGAAGGAGCTTGGAGAAATGTGTACAGAAAAATATTATCATGACAGAAGCTACTTTTTACTGCTAGCAACACCGAAAGTCTTGGGTCAGTCTGAGACTGACCAAGCCCATGAGGTTTCCCAGTGTGAGAAAATCTCTTCTTTCAGCCTGCTCTTTCATGCAAAAACACTTGGTCAGATCAACAAATGCAAAATTTGTTTCCACGGGAGAATTATTCTAATTATACTGGCAGGATAATTCAGTTATTCTGTGTACATTATCCTTCCTACTAGCATATATATTCCATGGTCATCAGGAAAGAAAAGTATGAATAGTAAAAGCCAAGAGCCATTTCACAGATAGCAGTACTAAATCTCCTTCATGTTTTGAGACTGATATGACAATGGAGTGCAATGTTAAATGTCAATATGGTACATACCTTCCTTGTATGCAAGCCCATCAGGGAGAACATCACTTACAAATATGTGTGTGAGATGCTGATTTTCATCAACTTGAGCTGTGACAGCAAAACCTGAAGTAATACAGGTTTAAAATCAAATAAAATCAAATTTCTCTGGAACAACGTTTTTATTTTGTATATTTAGTAGAATTAACATAATCAGCTAGTTAATAATTCTCATGAGAAAGCATCTACAGATCATAGAAAAGTTATCTTATTGTTTTTCAGCCATTTTTAGGACAGATAAAATTAACAGGTCTTCTCAACTTCGAGGAAATGTCATGCTGTGCAGTAAAAAGAGAAATATAGTTTGAAAAAAATACGTATCTAAGCCCCACAGAATGGTTCAATAACACAGCTTATCATTACAGTATGAGTTCCATAATGTGTCTGTGAGACAGAGAGTTGTTTTAAACAATTCCAGAAACTGGAAACCCAACCTATAAATGGAGCAAACTTAAATCCATACAGATCCAAGTGAGCCCAGGAAAAAAACCAAACATTCATACCCACAAACATGTAGATGAAAAACAGCACAGAGCCACTTTAATAAGATACCTGTGCTAAGTATATATTCATTTTTAGGCATAAATACCTCCTGCAGATAAAAGACTGTCAGAATTTGTTGATACTGTTCCAACCTGTGTCGACACAAAAAAAAAAAAAAAAAGAAGGCAGACCTTGACCATGGTCTGGTTGATAGTATTAACCTTGGCAAAGGACATTTTTCTTCTGAAAATTCCAAGCTTGACTAATTTATTGTATACAGAAGAATAGACAATGGGTCTTTCCCAAACAGAGAAATAAGAAATGCATTTGCCAGTGTAAAACAACCATCTGAGTGCTCATTGTAAAGTCAGAAGTCTTTTGCAGACAGATTTTGGCAAAGATGGCTCTAAACATGGCAGAAAGCTCCTGAAGAGAGAAAGTAGATAATGAGGATAATAAAAAGAAAAATTCCTGAGAGCTGTTTTGGTTAAACTTACCAAAATCAGTTATATTTTCAGTCTTTGTAAGATGAATGTGATAAACATTTAATGGGCAAATTTCTATTTCATCATACACCTATTGGAAAAAGCAGAAATAGAGGTGATAAAATTATGAAATTGTAAATATTAAAACATAAAGGTACATCATAGGAAAGAAACGCAATACCATTTGCATCAATAAAGAGCCAAACTTTGGTATATTTACACAGGGAACTGTGTTACACTGCAAGCATCACTGGAATCAGTGGGACTAAATGCAGAGTAAACTAGATATAGACAGTCTGGAGTTGAGACTGACACTACGTCTGTACCAAAATCCCCACTTAAATTTTCAAACAGTTCTTGAAGAGAGTGTTTGTAGTGCCTACCCATCTGAATGTCTGCACAGGCATGAACTGTGTGAACAAGGATGGCAGAGCTCAATGCATGAGCAGCTTTAAAGCCTTATTTTAGATCTAAATCACACATTCATAGGTGATAATTCAACTGTAGCTACAGACATCACTGAGCTGTATCTAAGAAGAATCACACTTTCCTGGTCTACTATGTATTCGTATGGTTCAGGAGCACAGTATTCAGTATTTTCATCAACCAGTCTTCTGAGCTGTAGCCCATAGTTCCTTGGCTCCAGTTGTTTCATCTAAGGAAAAGAGAATGGGGTTTGGAATTTATTATTTGTTTCCAGAATCCAGAGGTCAAAGCAGCGACACACACAAGCATATGCACAATCCTTTAGAAGTTGTGCAAAAGTAATTTTAAACAAGTCATTTTCTAACTATTTCTGTGGTATAAACAAAACTTAGCTGCCTTGCTTCAAAGCTAATGTTGAAGTACGACTTCCATTTTCCCTTAAAATTCACCCAACTCCTTTCATAAGTACTATATCTTGGCTATTAGATTAACTGAACATTGCTATATGTTTCCAGAGGTAATCATAACTGCTCTCTGTATTTTGAACTTACACTCAGAACCACCTTTTTTTGTAACTACTTGTAATGACTCAGTTCTACTTAGCAACTTTTTCTTCTCATATAGGAAATGTGTATGAAATATGGGCTGCTAGAAAAGGGGATCAGGTGGGAAGCAGATTCCCTAAGGGTTTGCCTTTATTTGATTCTACTTTTATTGCTGGGTTTCATCTATGATCAGAGAGTTTCACCCATTTTTTTTTCACCATGTGAGGTCAAAGCCAAAACCTTGTATCAACAGGAAGCCAAAGGGAGATAGGAATATTCCCAGAGAATATTAGCCTGAGAATGCAAAGCCACTGATAGGAGTTTCTCTGAAACCAGGATTCTACTGAGAGCACTGCATAAAACATTTCTTTTTAACATATTAATAAAGCAAACATGAGAGGAATGACTAAAACAGAAGGAATGAAACAGCATCCCTTAGGATTATTTAACCTCATTTACATATCTCTGCAGCTTGTGGAAACAAAATCTACTGAATAACTAGTAATTACTTGACCATTTTATTATGTATAGCAGTTTATGAGTTACAAGTGTCATATATCCTAAATAACTGTATTTAAATGCACATTCTTTTTTCTATATGTGCTACTCAAAACCTCAGACGGAAAACAGAAATGAGAAAATTATAAAACCCATAACACATGAATGATGAAAAAAAAGTGCTTTGAATTGTATCCTTATACATACAGTGTTCAAACATGTTCTGTTTAGAAGAAAGATTCCTTACAATCACCCCAGCAGAATGAAAATATAAGACCCAGGATAGATGAGCAGAAAGTAGTCAGCTTTAGAGAACGCTTATGAAAAGCTTTGCACACGGAAGAGGAAGAAAAAAACAAAAGGGAAAGAAGTTTTAGAAAAAAATCAAATAATTTAGAACTAAATTTTCATCTGATACAGACATTGAAAAATTAAAAGCCAGCTTTTTACAAATATCTTGGAATGATGGATTAAGAGAGGTAAGGAATTTCATTTTCAATTTAATTTTATGTTTACAAATTTTATTTTCATCAGTCAGATATATTTCTTACGCGTTATCTTAAAAATGTCCAAATATTTCAGCTATACTGTGCCATCTGCTGGTGAAATACCATCTCTTAAAATTCCTTCAGCCTGAGCCATACAATGTATTTCTGAGAAGTAAACTAGGCCATAAACTGTTTCTCCAGGATTCAGTATACACCAGCAAAAGCAATGAGGAGATAATTTCTCCCCAGTAATGCACAATACTGTGTCTTGTCTAAAAGTGTGTGCTCATTTTGATTTAAAATATGTAGTACATCCCAGATTTTCAGAAACTTGTATGATTTCATAATTTCTTTCTTTCTATATTCAGTTTACAAAATTATCACACGGTAAGAGTCCCTAAAGTGGAGCCTTTACTTCATTAAAAGCCCCAACTTCCAGCCAGCTGAATGAGCTTACCTGAGATTTCACACTAATGAATGCCAAAAACTGCAGCTGGAGAACTTTCTTTTTTTTTTTTCCCCCATTTTAACTCCTTACTTGTGAATTAAATAAAATATATTTACCACTTGTTAGAAAACAGGAAAACATGATTTGAGTATAAAATGTTATCTCTTTCAAAGACCTTGTTTGCATAATTTGATTTGAATCATGAAATCAGAGCTAAACTCAACTACTGGCACAAATAAAGACAGAGGAGCTAGGTAAGTTGTGATTCAATTTTCTGTCCCAAGACATACTGCAATCTCTCAGATTTATGGCACTGACTGTCAGAACAGAATGCACTCTTGGAAATTCTCAGGTAGGATTAATATCTAGTTAAAAGCAAAAATATCTAGTTAAAAGCCCTTTAAGAAACATACATATCCGATAAGCATTTGTCATAGCAGTCTGAAATGTCTTATCCTCATTTGTTAAGTCAACTAGTCCTCATAGTTCTCTGTGACTAATCTGTGCAGAACAGCTCAGCTTGCTGCAACGACAACTTGAAGTGGACACATGGGGAGATCTCTCGGAGTCTGATTACCTGGCAAATTGTCATCACTCATTAAGGACTCAGTGTTCTCTGTCTTGATCAATGCTTCTAGAAAAGTTTTCCACAGCCTTGCTACTTTGGCTACAACACATAAATGCTGCTACTGAAAGAAACACTGCAACCACTCAAAATGTTGATACAGAGACAGGGGTGTCCTCAAATACACTATGTTCCTTCTGAAGCATATAACAAATGAATACCTTGCATGCCAGAGACAGAACATCTTCCACCCTGTGTTCCGGTTTCAGAGTTAAAGCTACTCCTTGACCGTCACAGAAGTGAACATACGTTTGTGTTTCCCAAGCATTCTCCTTCTGGATGCTGTCCGGTACTGAGCAGTAGACATTCGAAAATTCATCAACTTGCTGCTGGAAGCCAGGGCAAAAATGCAAATCATATGTGAATGTTGCAAAAATAATACTAAAAAATGTACATTTACATTGGCAGTTTCCAGTGCATATACACCACCATATCTTTAGACATTGTACTGTGTGTATACTCCCATGGCAAATAAGGGGCAAAGTTCTGTTACTGATTCTCATTTAATGTCTATAACTTGATTTTCTTGATAATGGAATGTACTGCCACTGAATTCCCATTATGGGCTTTTATGCCTTTTTCTCTTATTATTTGTTGATTTAACTATAACTGAAAATATGTAAATACCTGACATTGTACCACAGTAGGAAACACTTCTTAAGAGGAGCTGACTACAACAATTTTACTTAATTAACAAATCTGAAAAAAACATAATTTCTGTAATTTTGACAGGAAAAAAAAAAAAAGATGACAATATACTAAACTTCCAGCAGAGAGCACTATGGAGCAAGGCTTGCCATAACATATTAAAGGACTAAAGCAGAAATAAAGTATTACCCTATCTACTGCTTGAAATCACATTAATTCATAGCTAGCAGAGTATTTGCTTGTTTATCAATCTTGTTCATATTCACACTCACTCCAAACCCACTCAGCTTGATCCAATACAACATCCACCCTAACTAAAATCCCTGTCATTTTCTCACCCTTCATTTTGACAATGTTCTGCGCTGCACTTCAGGCTAGACATTTGAAAGGAAACTTCACAAGGAAAAGAAAAACACTTCTAAACCTGAAATTTCACTTCTCTATTTGGGTCTGCCTATTCAGCACATCACTTCACTGCCCTCATCAAGGCATTTCTTTTACAAAGAGGTGCTCCCTGAATTCCTCCTTACAGCCAAAGGAAAGTGACAGTAACCCAGGAAAGCAGCATAGCTGTGATCCAAGGTAAATCTTAAGATAGTCTGAGCTATCTCACAGTGCCTAACTTCTGACTGCTTTTTCTTCATTAGTTTGCTTTCAGTCCCTGTTGGTTTGCGTTGGGGCGTTTTTGCCACCTATAAAAAGCTTCTTGATTATGCAATTTTTCCTCCTGACTGCAGGGACACAAGCCCAGTGGTCTACTGCAATTAAAAGCTGCAGTAAAATCACTGCACAGAGACTGCTTCCCTTGCTTCAGGCATCAAAGTTATTGACAACAATATATCAACAGCAACAAAGAGACCATATTATTTTGTTTTTCTAAATAACAACTGTGACTGTAAAAAAGATGTAATAAACAGTCCTATTCATGTAATTATTAAACAGTACAGAAATTTAGGTTGCAGATGAACCACAATAACAATTTTTATGCTAGAGTAGTGCTGATTTTGGCAGAATTATTTTAATGAATCAAGAGCATTCAAGAATCTTATACTGATTGCTCAACTGTCCTTTATAACTTGTTGAAAATGAAATATTGACCAGCATAGGTCCATAGAAATCCTACTAAAATAGAACTATTATACATAACAGCAGTTCTGTTATGCCACTGCAATTAATGGAACAATGAAATCTACAGCGGTGGGGTTTCATTTCCAGTGGCTGCAGCTCCAGACTGCTTGTAAAACTGCTGTAGTTGAAAAAGATAATTCCAGTGGATCTGTGGTCCTCTGAGAAACCAGTCAATCGGGTGCCTGGGAGCAAATGATGGTCTTCCACAGCATATATAGCAGGAAGGAGAAAGGGCAAGGCAAGTATACTGCAAGAGATGGAAGTGATCAGACTGAATTCTCCAGCAGCTTTCTTTGAGCTACAATAACTTAGTTAGATGCTCCCACCAATTCAGAGATTTGTAATTACCAAAATGGTTTATTGTCCTGCAATAATAGCTCTTTGTATCTGTTCAACAAAAATGAATCTCATTTTTGCAACAGATTAAAAGAAAAAAAAAATCAAAACAAGAGAGGATGAAGGTGATGAGAAATAGATTTAAGTAAGGCTACCTTCTTCTGGTAACATTTATGGCAAGAAAAAGTTCTTCCTCCAATGTACGATGTTTCCCCTTTCTTTCCATGTACACTAGTGCTCAAATACATACCACAAGATAAACTTGTCTCTATTGTTAAACAAAAATATGTTCCTTAACTGCAGTCAATATACTGTTGCTTCATCCACATTTTCCATCTCAGAAAATCTGACACGAAGAAATTTTTTTCCTGTTATGCCCACTAATGTGACTAATACTACAATAGTTCATTCATTCATTGCCACATAAATTTAAAACAACCCATCCAATTTTCCAGAAATATATGCCAGGACTTGCAGACTGTCACACACTGTGGACATAGGTTTGCTGCAGGACCAATAGATTACTTCATAATTTCCTCCACTGCTTGTCTCCATTTTTATCATCTCTTTCAGGGAAAATATAGCCTTCCAGGCAGAGTTTGCTGTTTGTAATTTACTGCATTCCTTGGGTAGTATTTAATAAAAGTTTTTATCCTGTTTTGTTTTTTATTGAAATTAGCCTATGAAAATGGGCTTAAGCCAAAGTAACGGTTTTCAGAGCTATGATGAATCATTTCTGAGTTGTCGTGTGATTCATGAAAATGTCAGGATCTTAAAAATGCCCACACTGTATTTAATTCCCATTAAAAAAAGGTTTCTGAAGTACAGTTCAGATGGTAATGTTTTTCTAGAAATAAAGTTGAGATCCAGAGCTCCACTTCAACACCTCAGTTGGAGTATTTTTTGAGCCCTGAAACAGCCCCATTTGACTTTGTAATTGGCCTGTCCAAAACCTGCAGCAAGGCTGACAGTATGCTTGTTGCTTTTGCCCAGATAGAGCAGAGACAGACCTTGAGCCTTTCCTGATTCAGCATTATGGGAATTGAATGTCATTCTTCCTGCCTTGTGCCACCTCCAAGACTGGTCTGTCTCTCCTCAGAGGGGTTCAAGAGGAGCAAGAGATGCCAGGGGACACAAAATCCACAGCAGACCTGGCTGCATCAGGTGATGCTGTTGATCTCTCAAGTCTCAATGGGGTCAGAGGCAAAAATGAGAGACCAACACAACATTTCTTTGGAAAGAATCTTCAGGAGTTGCACCCAAGAGATTTTGTTTGCCTCATACCAGTTTTAGGAGAGACCAAATCTCCCCAAGATTTAAGAGGACTTGGCTTTTTTTTGCTATTTCTGAGGTGTGAAACTGAGGCAACTTGACACCATAATCAGTGGTACGTTTTAGAGGAATTTGACTTTTCTCTACAAGAGATCATGTCCCCCAGAAATCTCACATAATTTATTTGGAAAAGAGAGGGGTGACTTAGCATAAATATTTTCCCACTCCAGAAAATAACAGGCAAGAGGTCAAGGAACAAAGGGAATTCAGTTGTTTCAGTACATTGTTTCAAAAGACACACAAAAAGTGAAGATACTTTCAAGAGGCAAAAAATCAACATTACAGGATTAGTTGCTGTCAGTTGGAGATACCTCTCAGTGACATAGCTTATTCATAATTACACATTTCTTAATTACCTAGCCATCACAAGAATACCTTTGATGGGAAAAGAAACCACATAGCACGTAATAATACCCCAAAAATCCAACAATAGGAAAATGTATGAAAGATTTTGAACTTTGTCCAAATCTTTGCCATGAAATCCATTATAACTGTTCACTATAGTTAATCATTTTCAAAATCAGGATTTTATTCTAAAAAGCAGATTTTGACTTTTTGTCTAAGACCTGGTACACTTACACAGATTAAAAGAAATAGCACTATGACATGCTTTCTTTCTTTTCTTCAAAGTCTTCTCCTTAGTCTTAAACTACATTAAAAAAATATAACTGTTTCAGGAACAAAAGAAGAATAGGGATAAAAAGTAGATGGGAAGACCAATCCCTTTTTCATATGGCACATATTGCAATTCTATACACAAAACAAAGTCCAAAGACTCTATGCCTAATACTTAATTCTTTACTTGGTGCTTATCTGTTCAAGCCTATGGAGGGAAGAAAAATCTGTCTGTGTAAGCTCCACGGTAGTTAGACAACACAAAGTGCTCCTACATGTGCATGGTTATGGACTTGAGAGTCTACTGCTCTGCTTCCAGCCAGTGGATTGTAATGCTATCCCCAGAGAGGCTGCAGGAACCAAAAGGGATTGCGACCAATGTCCTGACCCATGTACATTAACTCACTTCTCTGCCCACAGGACTTAAGTTAAATTTCATTTGTCTTAACACTCAAATCATACAGGTTCTGTTGAACTAGACAAGGGGAAAAATAAAGCTTAGAATTGGCCACAATACAAAGGCAAAACTTTCAAACAAACTCAGTTCAAAATCTGTTTCTTAGACCTTACAGACAGTGTATACCAGTAAGGACAAGTGCTGTAAAGAATTTTCTAGTTTTGTTTTTTGTTTTTTTTTTTTTATTATTATTATCATTACTTGTTAAAGGCTACCACGCATGTTGAGAAATTGCAAGCGAGCAGAATTTTAATTCTGCCATCTAACACTGATTTTTACGAACCTTGGTGGGGTTTCAGAACCAGCCTCATAACATGCTTATATTTTCAGGAAATCTATTTGAGAATTTAAAAATAAGATGGTGCAGAATAGAGACAGGCTTTTCTTACCTCAGCAGAGTTGGCTGAATTCTGGACACCGGCGAATCCATGTCCTCCAGCAGAGTCAAAAATCTATTAATAATACAAATAAATAAATAGGCTAAACAAATTAAAAATTAATTGCTTATGTGTGTTAGGCAAACTCTTTGAATAACTGAAGAAACAAAAACGAGATGAATATATCTAATTCCCAAACCAGGGATTGTTTTGCACTTTTGACTGTTTTATTTTGATGGGAGGTAGTATTGAGGAAATAGGCATTCTCCCTTCATAAGGAAAATTTAAGTCCGTTTTCTCCTTCAGAGTATGTATACACTTACATTCAAACATGTACAAAAGCATCCACATACTTGGTTTTTTCTACCCACTATTTAGCAGTAACTTTAAAGCCAATGACTATCCAATCAAGCACTCTTCTCTAAGTTACAGTTTCAGTATTTGCTACATCATTAGGTACAATTAGCAATAAATCTCATCATGATTTAAAGGAAAAATTTCAAATTAATGTTCCAGTTTTGGAAAATTTCATCCCCTATAATTTTTCAGCTCATCTACCTGAACAGTGAGGCTGGCACTGTTGATAGCAATATAATTTTAGCTAGAACAGCATACATGGTTCCCACCAGCACTAGCAAGAAATGGAAACAGCTGACTATTGCCCTACTTCGGAACTGATGAAAGCAGAAACTGCAACCTACATTTCCCATACGCGTAGAACGTACTTAGTTTCTACAGAGAGGCTAGGAAGTAATAGTTAATAGTATCTCACAAAGATGCTAGGACTATCCATGCAGTTAAATAAAAAATGAATAGCTAAGGATACAATCAGATATTTTGATGATAAGAGTTGCATAAATGTAAGGATAGATCTGTACAGTTCACACAAGAGCTTGAGATTTGCAGGTACTAACATTACTGTCCTGAAGTGCAAATATAAATTGCTCTTTTACTCTCCCTCTGAAATCAACAAATCAGTACGATATCATCTGACTTGCATCTGACCTTTCTTTTTTTTCTTTTGTTCTTGGAAAAACCTTTTGGATAATCCAAGACAATAACAAACTCTTTTCTGAAATTTCACATGAAATACAGCTTCTGACAATGTGTAAAACAGGCACTACTTTTGAACTTCCTCTTTCTTGTCCTACCCGCAGATGTAGTCAAAGCATTTTATTGTTTATGATTTCTCAAAATAGTTTATCGTTTAGACTGAAGAAAAGCAGATAAGCATTTAAGAAACTGAGGATAATGTGAGCCTAGATGTCCCCCATCTGCTACAGTTCAGTTTTATTAACTGGTTTCTAAAAGACTGAGTCACTTCACTAATGTTTACGAAAGCCTCCTGGAATAGAAACTCTGCACCCTATATTTTGAATTATTATTAACAACATAAAAATAAGGAAAAAATTAAAACTTCTCTGCTGCAACAATGTTCAAGAACATATCATCTAATTTTGAGGCTACAGTACTACAGATAAAACCATACTAGCTCTAGTCAAATGAACTTCAACTAAATCCGTGAGTGCAAGAAATTTTTAACCTATTTTTTGGAACAGATGTCGGAGCACAATTAAGAGAGAACCAACCCTGACTTTCCTGCTTAACCCAGTTTCCCAGAGGGTAGAAAAGTTGACAAGAAAGGCAGCCCCAGGACTATTCTGATTTACAATTACGTGCGTATACACTAGTCTGAGCAATGACATGGCTCCCTTTTCAGACACTTTCCAGGTTCAAGGGTCAGTTTTTAATTCATGCTTTTAAAAATTCTTCACTTTTATGAGTATGAGTCATAGTGCAGTGTTATTAAATATGCAACACTCAAGATTTACATTTCCTTAATTTTATTGTAGGTTGTTTAATAAAAAAAAAAAAAAATCAAATAAATACAAGAATCTGAGTTCTTGGATGAAAATGAACACTTTTTAGGGCCAGCTGGTTGCAAGTTTTGGAGCAAAAAGGGTGAGGACACACTGGGGACACCTCTGCCTGTGCTCAGGAAAGAGTTGGGAGGGCAGCAGGAGCCTCTCCGCCTTGTTGTGGAAATGAGATTCCCTGTCCCTGAGCTCAGCAGAATCCCCTCCCCAGACTATAAAGCATACAGGAGGATGTATCATGCAGTTAAGGCAGTGAGAGGTATCAGCTCAGCTGGAAATGAAGCTAATAGGCACAGCAACCCTTCCCTCAGGCCTGTTATTAATAAAGAAATAGAGATGTAGAACTCACAGACCAGCCTTACTCGTCACAGAGAATACTGAAAAATATATGAAAAGGACCACCTAGAGAAAATCTCTCAACCAGTTCCCTCTTTCAAAAGACAGATCTGAGCTTTTATTCTTATTGTCACCATGTAACACATCTCAACTGATATGCAAAAAATGCCTAACAGTCATTCAAAGAAGCTTCATCCCAATGCAACACGCAGATAAATATTTACCTATTAAAAATATAAATAACCAGACCAGAAAATCCTGATGTGTTATTTTGCAGTGCTAAATTATCTGTTTCATCAGCTCTGGGACTACAACAATACAAATATGGATAGGTTTGCTTTGTATACCTCCTGTGAGAGGCAATGCCAAAGGCCGCTGTCTTTGGATCAGCTGCTCCATTTTTTTCCGTGAAGATTCACCAGTGTTGTTCTGTATTAAATTGCAATAGTACTTCAGAGTCCCAGATACATGTCAGCACAACACTGAATTAAGGATTTGCATGTAGGCTTTCTCCAAAGAAATCCTACTTCAGAACAATTTGCAAGATGGCCATAAGATGAGTTTTCTTACAAATTCAAAAGAGATTGCCTTGTACTGCAGATATGCTAATCCACAGGGTCAAAATCTCTCATTCATCAACCTTATTTAACACAAAGAAATCCAAAATCAGACATATATCAATGCCTCTTCACAAGTGATGCTCTCATTACAAATCTATAATATCTACTGAAATTGTAAAGGCAAGTCTGATGGACAGATGTCTCCTTCCCCGTGCACCAACAGCATTAGGCAGGATAAGCCCCAGTAGAAACAAGCCCTTCTCTGCTGCCAGTATCCTAAATCCTCAGCAAATAAGATTTACCTGTGTTATGGAAGGTCGCTTTTCTTTTCCTTTTCTTGCTAGTGTGTCCAGTCCTTTCAGTGAAGAAAACAAACCCTTCTTGTTTCTGACTCTTTGAGACAGAGACAGGGTACGCTTCCTGAGAGCAGCTTCATCCCTGGAGCAGATCTATTTAAACACAGACAGGACTTCTTTACAGCACTTTCATAAGAGCAAAATACTGATAGTTACTACAACCTGAGACAACAAATGAAAGTTTCTTTAGTTTATCTCAGTGCAATATGTCATGGTGCTTCTTTTGGCTGACACGCCTGAAGGCTGTGTTGCCATTCAGCAAGACCTGGACAGGCTGGAGAGCTGGGCAGAAAAAAACCGGATGAGGTTTAACAAAAGCAAGTGTAGAGTCTTGCATCTGGGGAGGAATAATTCCATGCACCAGTACAGGTTGGGGGATTACCTGCTGGAGGGGAGCTCTGTGGAAAGGGACCTGGGTGTCCTGGTGGATGACAGGTTGGCCATGAGCCAGCAGTGTGCCCTTGTGGCCAAAAAGGCCAATGGCTTACTGGGGTGCATTAAAAAGAGCGTGGCCAGCAGGTTGAGGGAGGTGATCCTCCCCCTCTACTCTGCCCTGGTAAGACCTCATCTGGAGTACTGCGTCCAGTTCTGGGCTCCCCAGTACAAAAAAGACAGGGATCTCTTGGA